TTCACCCGTAAATGCTACGCTGAAAGCACAGCCACAGCCTCCACCAAGTAGACACACAGAACACCCTCAGAACAAAAGCCTTGGGCTGCAGGGGGCACCTGGGGGGCTCAGTCCGTCAGTCGTCCGACTCCTGCTTTTGGCTCAGGTCATGACCTCACGGTTTGTGAGTTTGAGCCGCGTGCCTGTCTCTGTGCTAACCGTGAGGAGCCTGCTTGGGATTCTCTCTCCTTCTGTCTGCTCCTCCCTAGCGCGTGCGCTCGGTCTCTCAAAACAATAAATAAACTTAAAAACGAAAACTCTCGTGCTTCAAAGGACACCACACACGTGGTGAGGGTCTTGGGCTCAAAATACATAAAGAATGCTTACAACTTCCTAATGAAGAGACAACCCCCCTGGAAAATGGCAGATTTGAGTAGACATTCCTCCAGAAAAGATACACAAACGGCCAACAAGGACGCGTCAAGACGCTCAACATCATTAGTCATCAGGAAAATGCGGGGCTAAACCACTAGGAGACAGACACCACACCGCAGGGGGGCCGGGATCTAAGAGACAGATAATAACGGCCCCTGGCCAGGATGCAGGGTTGCCTCGGACATAAGGGGCGCGGCTCCCGTGGGAAACGGTCTGGCAGTCTCTCCGACAGGTCAGTTCAGTTGTTAGAAGATCCAGCAACTCCGCTCCTACGTGTGGACCCAAGAGACACGAAAACACACGTCCATGCAAAAACCTGTCCGTGAGTATTCATGGCGGCAATATTCACAACAACCCCAAACTGCAACTAGCCCCAATGCCATTAACAGGTGGAAGTACAAATAAAATGGGGCCCAGCCCCACGAGGCAGTATCGTTCGGCACAGAAAGGAGTGGGGCGCTGGCACCTGCCACAGTACGGGTCATCCCGGAGGACGTGGTGCTCGGCGAAAGAAGCTGGTCACGTTTATGTGTGATTCTATTGGGAGGAAGCTCCAGAATTGGTAAATACCGGAGACCGAAGATGGATTGGTGGCGTCTGGGCCTACCGGGTGGGCGAGGGGGACCCGGGCATTGACGGCAACACTGCATGGGGTTCTTCCTAGAGTCACCAAAAGGTTCCGAAGTGGATTGTGGTGATGGATGCTCATTTCTGCGGATGCACTAAAAGCTGCTGAGTTGGGGCGCCTGGGTGGCTCGGTCGGTTGGGCGGCCGACTTTGGCTCAGGTCACGGTCTCGCAGTCCGTGAGTTCGAGCCCCACATCGGGCTCTGTGCTGACAGCTCAGAGCCTGGAGCCTGTTTCAGATTCTGTGTCTCCCTCTCTCTGACCCTCCCCCGTTCACGCTCTGTCTCTCTCTGTCTCAAAAATAAATAAACAGTAAAAAAAAAAAAAAAAAAAAATTTAAAAGCTGCTGAGTTGTAGGATTTAAGTGAGTGAACCATACGATACGTGAATTACATCTTGCCCCTAATTTGTTAGAAACCTTACTTTAACCCTAAAGCAAGAATGTCCAGAAACTCGTGAGCTAGGGGTGTGTTTTTCAGTGACTTTTAAAAATGTGTAATGCTAGGGGCGCCTGGGTGGCGCAGTCGGTTAAGCGTCTGACTTTAGCTAGGTCACAATCTCGCGGTCCGTGAGTTCGAGCCCCGCGTCAGGCTCTGGGCGGATGGCTCAGAGCCTGGAGCCTGTTTCCGATTCTGTGTCTCCCTCTCTCTCTGCCCCTCCCCCGTTCATGCTCTGTCTCTCTCTGTCCCAAAAATAAATAAACGTTGAAAAAAAAAATAAAAAAAAAAATAAAAATAAAAATGTGTAATGCTAAACTTTAAGTGGTCATCCCCATGCACAGAAACCACACTTTGCAGGACCCCCAGTCTCCACCCCCATCTCACCAGCCACCCTCTTCTAGAGCCTCGTAACTTCTATCCTTCAAGATCTTGGAGGAACAGTACTAGCATATAATTAATTCCTAATATTGGACTGACAACTTACGAAACTTTCAGGAGTTCAGAGAAGAAAGTTTTTCTTAAAAAGAACTATTAATCACGGATTTTAGTTTTTTAATGCCATGGTCATAAACCACAGCTGTTTTCATATTCAGACCACAGCCACTGGGGACAGGAATGGCGTGCGCAGCCTCCTGGGGTCCTGGGCCTGGGCCCCAGGGTCCTCAGGGGAGTGGAGGCTGCTGGCAACAGGACCACAGTCAATGCCAGGCTCAGGGCACGGTCAGCGGAGGGGAGTCCGGATGCCAGGAAATGCCTGGATACGACCCAGCAGAGCCGCAAGAGGATGGGACGACAGGGGGGCAACACCATCAGCTTGTAACCCCTGCCCTGTGCCCACCGTGCCCGGCCAGTCCTCTGCCTAGGACCACGCTGTGTGCAGGGGAAGGGGCCTGGCTCACCTCAGGATGCCCACCATGGCTCTGGCAGTCTAGCTGGCAGGTCATGGGCACACACGCTCCCTTTCTGGCCTCAACATCCCCCTGGCCTTTGCTGAGCACTGGTAGAAACCCTGTCCCAGGTGGTCCACGGGTGGCCTCAGCCTTCAGATGCCAAACAGGTAGGACCAGACATCCCTCCTGCTATAAACAGGCTGGGTGCTGAGAATTCAGGAGAAAAGGGGCAGACGTGAGCTATGTGAGCTTCCCGGGGACCCATGAGCCTGGCTGTCCTACCCTGCCAGACCGCTATATTCCTCCATGACCATGGAGGTGATGGTGCCCACCATGGAGGAGGACCCCCGGGGGAGGGGGCTGGGAAGGAGTGGCTCGGGGAGGCCATAGTGGAGGCCAGAGGGGGGTGAAGTTAGGGGAGGGGAGACCTGGAAGAGGAGGAGGCTGGGCTGGGGCAGGGCCAGGGGAGGCCGGGAGAGGCCAGAGGAGGGAAGGCTAGGAGGAGGGGAAGCCCAGGGGAGAGGGAGGCCGGGGTGGGGGCGGAGGCCAGGCTCCCTGGACTTTTGGCTCGACCTCAGGCAGTCTATACGACCTCTCCGAGTCCTGGTTCCCTCATCTTTATGTGGCAACAGCAAGCATTATACTGCTCCCTGTAACTCACAGAGGCATTTTGAAGACACAACAACAACTGTGTGACCCCGTGGCACAGAGCCTGGCCCAGGAAATGCCAGGACGGCTGTGCCTGCACAGAGCAGCCACTCAGGCAATGCCACCAGTGCTGCTGTGTTTCCGCCCACACTGGGCCTCCTGACCGCAGGCATTCGCACGGGTCACTCCATGGAGGGACGGGAAGGGCACCGTTGTGACATTAAGGGACCTAGAAGTAGCCGTTCTACTTCAGCTCCCTGTGAGAGGCTGCGACCTCTCAACTGTTTCCCCTCGGCAGAGGGGCTGAAACCGTGAAGAAGCCCAAGGAGGGTGGAAAGTTTCACAAGGAACCCATGCCTGCTCCAGGCCTCATCTCCTTCCCGAATGTTCCACGAGAAGCCCATACCCACTCCAGGCCTCAGGCCCCTCCAGAATGTTCCACGAGGAGCCCGTGCCTGCCCCCAGGCTGCATACCCTCTAGCTGTCTCACCCCAGTCATCCCTCGTGACCCGGGGATACATGAACCATGCTGGTTGGCCACACACCTGCCTCCAGCCGTCCTCCTGAGACAGCCGAGCCCGTTAACGGCTCCCTCTTCTATACGATTCTCCTGACGGAGGTGCCAACTTCCCTTCCTGCAGCCACAGGGAAGGAGGTGCTGTGCTCACGGACCCAGTCAGGGGTGGCATCAGCACTCCTCAGCATGGGGCATGCCCACTGTATCCCGGCAGCCCCAGGCCTTCGCCCTCCCCTGGTGCCTTCGTCTTGCCTGTGTGAATGAGGTCCCACCTGCTCCAGGCAGCCCCAGACCACAGACAGGTCAAGCGGAGCCTCGGGGAAGCCCCCAGCAGGACATGTGGCCCAAGGAATGAGAGCAAGAGTCCCAGAAGCACCCTGACACAAAATCATACCTTCGGTCACAAGTTACACACTAGCAGCTATATTTTCTTTGGCCCGAAAGGTATTTGGAATGCTTCTCAATTAGTGACCATCATCCTCAACGTTTGAAAATTAAGCAGAAGAGATGTTCCAGCTTACTCTGAAAATCGTGTATCAGGACAAATGGCCACGATCTGGTGAACAAAAGACAGCTTCCCTTCGTCCCACCACCCCCCAGAGCGGCAGGCTCACACAACTTGCACGGTCCTTGTGGGCACTCGGGGGTGCAACAAACCCTTGCCGGTGCACAAACAGCCTTGTTGGGGCTAACAAAGGGTGGCAGAGCAACCTTGGACCACATGGATCCCCAAGCCCCAGGATCACCGGAGCGGACATCAAAACCACGATGCTCCTTGTGAATTTTCTTGGGATGGCCTGGATGTCAAATATCCCTTCTCCACCATTCCCACAAATTTTCGTGTGCCAACGAGTACCCTAATGTTTATTTTGGTAGCATGGTTTCTGCTTTATTTGGAGCAGGAAACTACAGGTGAGGGGTCAACCCAGCCCCCTGTTCGTTTTATAAATAAAGCTTTATTGGCACACAGCCACGTCTGTTTACCAACACGTTGTTTGGCCGCTTTGGGGCTAGGACAGCAGAGTCGATTAGTGGACACACAGACCATACAGCCTGCAAAACTTACAATATCTATTGGCTGGCCCTTTATAAAAAAGTGTGCTGGCCCCCAAGGCAGGCAGGAGAGGCAAAAGTCACCTCCTTTAGGGGCGTTCTTTGGTGCCCATATTCGGGCTCCTTGTTTAAAACACTTATGCTCCCTGGGGTAGAAATGATCGGCCAGTGGATGAAGGTGGAGAGAGGGAGGACAGGGGAGGCCAGGAAGGGGAGCGGGTAAGGGTACCGGACCCTTGTGCTGCCCGCTTGCCTCGATGGGGAGAAAGCCCCGAGCAGTCACCCATAGTTCACCCGAAACACCTCTGGGAGGAAACACTGCATTTTCCACTAGAAACTTGGTGCCTGCGTGTGCCAGCACAGACCATGCCCACACCTGGCACCCTAGTCCCAACCAGCCCCCAGTACTTACTTCATGGGTTTGAACAGTGCTTGCCCATAATTCTGGAATGTCATGATGAGCTTGAGCTGCGTGCCCCCCGACTTCATGGCTGCAGGAGAGAGGGAAAGAGACACGGGGTCACTTGCTGCCCTCAGCTCATCCCTCTGTGGGTAAGTGAGCAGCTCCCACCCTGGTCCCGAGGCCCCGCCTGGGCCTCTGGATGTGGTTGCGGGCTCCATTCTGTCTGGGAGGTCTGGGGTTTCCTGCACTGACAGTGGTACACATCCCACCTTGATATTTAGGTGCTGGGTCTGCGGGGGGGGGGGGGGGGGGGGGCGGAATCTCCCAGGCAGTCTGACCCATAGACAAAGGGAATGGCTTCTAGAAAGGATGGCCAGGTATAGGTACCTGCCAGCCACGCCTCTCTCCCCCAGACACCTGCACGACCTCATCACACGGGGGCCCCCCCCCCCACGCCTACACACCACTGCTTGCCCCGACTAAGTCTCTGGGGTTCTGTTGGAAGCCTGAGCAGGGTTAACCTGAGACCCTGAAGACCCCTTGGCTGGAAGCAGCTCATTCATTATAGGGGCCTTCCGGGGGGCTCCCGATGGACATGGCTCCAGAAGCAACATTATGGTTTCCCAGATGCTGCACCAGCTGAGAAGTCTAAAGAGTCCCTGAAAAGACCCACTCTTCCCCAGACTGCGGTTCTCTCTTATGGATGGGGCTAAAGGAAGGTGTTGAAACAGGGGTTTCCATAAGATGTGGGGTAGGAGGCTGGGCTTGGCCTGTGGCCACCTCAGGAGCTGGGTGGGCTGGCCCACCCCACCATCTATGTGGCAAGGGCCAGACCACGTGAAACAGGTCACACAGAGGGCCTCCTGTATCCCCACCAGGCACCAGCTCTGCTTCTGTCACAGGCGGGAGTCAGGGCGCGGCTGAGCACATTTCCAGCCTGGAGCAAGCTTGCGCACCCGCCCATCCCAGCGGGTGGGAGGGAGGTGGCTTGGGCACCTGGCCGTGTGGCAGTCCTTTGCCAGCAGGGAGGGAGTGGTCGGCAGAAGGCAGTAGAACAGCCAGGAACCAGGTAGATACCGCCCCCCACTGTGTAGGGGGCCCGGCTACATGGGTGGAGGGTGCAAGCCAGGGGAAGGAGGCTGAGGCAGCCACAGCAGATGATGGTGGTTTGTATGACAGAGGTGGGGAAAATGAAAAATTAAGGAAATATCTGGGGGTCCAAGGAATCATTTAGTGGAGTAGGTGTGGAGGTGAGAGAGAAACCTAGGATGACTCCTGGATTCCAGGGGGTCAGCAAATGGGTGGGGAAGAATGTGCATGGAGGTGAAGATCAAGGCCAGGTGACTACAGGATAACTGAGGGGCACCATACTGGGGGTGAGCCATACTGGAGGGCTCCATACTGGAGGGTGCCATACTGGAGGGGTGCTATACTGGGGGAGGGTGCCATACTGGAGGGGGCCATACTGGAGGGGCACCAGACTGGACGCCGCCATACTGGAGGGGAGCTATACTGGAGGGTGCCATAATGAGGGGGCATACTGGAGGGG